ACTTGTGCGGGGCAGGCTGCATGCGTCAACCACGAGTGGGCCCAGAGCCCCGCGGGAAGAGGGCCCCGACCGGGTATCGAGCGTGCATGCGTGGGTTAGTGCTTGGCGGTTGGCCCTCCAGGTGCATGCGAGTCTGCCCCACCGGTAACCATTTTCCTTCATCTCATAGCCCTGAAATGATCCTTTCTGGTCGGAGGGGCTCTAATTCAAGAAACAAGACAACAAACGATCCCTTGAGGTAGTCAAAACAACAATCATCATCAGCAGTCGACCCAAACGCTGGCTACGCCCGACTGGGGGGTCTCTTCTGATACAGAGTGGTTACTCCTGTCACGGCTTTCTGTCAAGAAATTATATTTTCTCATCGTCGTTTTCGTTGCTTGCCCGTTCGCACTCTTTTCAAACACACACCTTTCATTTGCATTTTTTGTTCTCTTCTCGCTCCCCTGTCACGGGGAAGCGTGATAAGCGCGATAAGGACGACGTCGACACGGACCCGAACTCAGCCTCTTCTGACATTGATTCCCTCCTGGATGTAGCCGACGGAAGTGCCGCTAGCCCCGTTTCGGCTACCATTTTGCCTGATAACCCCCGTGCGTCTCAGACCGAGTCCAATGGCCCACACACCACCACTGCGGGGTCTGAGCGGCGCCCGTCTCCGTCCGTCTAGTCTCGACTCTTGTTCGTCTTTGATCACCACTGGGCCTTCTCACTGTGATGCTGACTATCGCTCGACCATGGCTGGCAATCGCCAGAACCCCGAGCCCATGCTTGACCCACTCTGCAGTTTCGTTGTCGTGCATCCCTGTGACTAGAACGCTTCCTTCAGAAAAATCAACGTCTTTTGGCCATCGCAACGAATTCAAGCTGTCTGTGATCCATGCAGTCCTGAAATCGAGGGCCCAGCAAATGGGCCACTCGTAATCAAAACAACCAGTTGTATTCAAACCTGTTCTCTTCTCCAGACCACCGAATTCTGCGGCAAGAAAGTTAAAATTTCTCTTTACTTTGCAAGAAACACCAAAGATGTTTCTTGCAAAGTGACAAACACCACCAAAGGTATTTCTTGCACCATCTTCGTGCCTGAGCTCCGTTTCATGACGGAGGAGGACATTCTGGCTGAGCCCAGACCTGACAGCGTTTGTCGTGTTCGTCGACTGACCACGTCCCGCAACGGATAGCGTCAGGACATCAACTTCCTTGTTTTTACTTTTGCAACTACCCGCCCTCCAGAGACTCTCACAGCCGGCTACGCTAGATATCAAGTCAAGGTATTTATACCCAATCATTTCAGGTGCTTTAAATGCCAACGGTTTGACACAGCAGCAAGTTCTGCAAACAGAGTGCAAGATGCCTCAAGTGCGGAGAGACCCCTCACGAGGGGCCGCGTGCATATCGCCCCGAAAATGCCTAAGCTGTGGCAGTGCTGACCATAGCGCCAACTCTTCCCAGTGCCCGACATGGAGAAAAGAAAAAGAAATCTGCTGCGAAAAGACCAAGACAAGTGCATCGTACCAAAAAGCACGACACACTGTCGAGGCAAAAATCTTTTGCCTTCCTCAGAATCATACGCGCAAACAGCAAAAGTAAAGCTAGGGACATGTGGTACAAAAAACAGAATCGATTTCCCATTTACTACCGCTGAAAATTCTTGCTCCAGTCAAGACTGTCTCAGTGACATCAAACACACAAACGCAGCACAATTGTTCCCTTGAGCTGACCCTGGCCTCGCGTTCGGACGCGCGGCCCTCCGTGCTCTCCCGTCCCAGGCCACCCGGCGTTCCAGCCCTCCAGCTACGAACGGTCGGCAGCCGGGTCCCTCTGGCTGCCGCATGGACGGCACATGCCCTACCCCCCGCACAACACCCGCTACAGCACGCCCGAGCGAAGACCACCAGTCCCGCCCCTTGTGAGAGTGGCCATGGGCCGGCCTCGGTCAGTTTCGTTCGGCCGATTCCCACAAACCGGTGGGGATTGGTCAAAGCGCCACTAAATGTTTGTCGTTCTACAGTGCAATTGTCGCGGTCGTATTTGAAAATGGTCTGAAATGAAAGCATTTTTTGCAGTATTAGCTCACATTGTTATTGCCGTATGCGAAACTTGGTTTCATCCTAACGATCCATATAACTTCACAATGTCAAATCATTCCCTATATGGCAGTGACGACAAAACTGGTGAGCGTAGCCGAGGTGGGGTGGTGGTGTACAGAAAAAATACATAACACACAAGCGCCTTCCACTCACAACACCTTCACAGGCTGTTCTTGCATGTTCTGCGCGTATTCATGGCCGCAACATCGATGTGTGTTCTGTGCACATTCTGCCAACTTACGATAACGCGGGGCTGTCACGGTAATTAACCACGTCACTCATTTTTAAAGCCCTTTTCTCTTCCTCGGTGATTTCAAAAGTCACAGCCCAGCTTAGAGCAACGGCACCCAGGCTGTCAATCGCCGAGGACGTTTGGTTAAAGACCTAATTGACAGTCATAACTTAGGGTTGTCAAACAAAAGAAGTAACACCTACAACCTCTCACCCACTGGTACGGAAAATACCATCGATCTGTCGCTGTACTCTTCCTCAATTGGGGCTTTCTGTGGTTGCACTGATGGGAGAGATGTATTCAACGGCGACCATTTTCCAGTGAAGTCTTACACCACTTTTGATTCAACCGATGGCATAGTTTCGCGATTCATAATCCGCGGAAATTTACGAGAATTGGACTGGGCCAAGTTTCAGGAGCTTTGTTATGTCAACTGAGATTGTTGGAAATCACCAGAACAAGGTATTAGCCTTATTGCACATATCATTCATGCTGCAGCGACCGCATCAATGTCACTGACTGAACCCCAATCGCGCCGCGTCCCAGTACCATGGTAGACGACCGAGGTCAAAAAGGCTATTGCACGTCGGACATGTGCCTTCCGCTGCTTTCGTCGTTGCACCTTATCTTAGCCTTATCTACCTTATCAGGATACACCTCACCTTATTGCCCGACGTTATGAACGAGCTCGAACCAGACGAATTATGAGTGCCAAACGTCATTCATAGCGAACCCACATTGAGCAGTTCACCGCTGCTTCTCCCCTATATCAGCTACGGGGACTGGTTCGAGCACTTTCCGGGAAACGCATTTTTCATTGCCCACTTAACGCATCAACAACCAAAGCATTTCGACAACACCTCTTGTCAACAACGCTCTTGCTGGAAGTCTTGCTCAGTGTAGTTCTTCCGGAAATTATCAACCAGGCTTCGTGAGTCTTGAACAAGTCCGTTTTCGTTTACATGCTAATTTTTTGCTTCCTATAAAACAGAAGACTATCATTTTCGTTTCTGAAAAAAATGCTATTGCAAAAATAGAAAATGCTATTGCAATGCAAAAATAGAAAATGCTATTAAAGCCGTCGGCAACGTCTCGGTAGGCAATGATCAGTTGTACTTATGATTTTTCCGTAATCTTTTTAAAAATGTGCTTCATTTATTTTAACGGTTTTTAATCATTTATGGTCATTACGAGTCTTTCCTGCGGCATGGAGCGGCACCATCATAATTTCGCCGCCAAAACCAAGGAAAGACGCCAAAGACCCACCACATTATCGTCCCATTGCACTTACAAGTTGTCTAGGCAAACGTTTTGAATGGAGGTTAGCAAAGCCGATCGCTCGGATTGCAGAACGAGACTTACTGCTTTCAAAATATTAATGTGGTTTTCGACAAAATCGCAGCACAAGAGACCACATAATTCCGCCTGAAGCTGACATAAAATGTTCCTTATAAATCGACACCATCCGACGGCTGTTTTCGAGACATTAGACGAGCGCACAACATGGTCTTTAAGCCTGCACTTATTTTCAAGATCCATCAGTTAGGGTTTAAAGGCCATTTAGGTTATAACCTAACTGGATTTCTTTCTGGTATCGGACCATTTCGTGTGAGATGTAGCTCTACCGTTTCTGACCCTCACCATCGAGAGAACGGCCTCCTACAGGGAAGTTACATCTCACCGATTCTCCTAAATTTCATGACAAACGATTTATTTGACTCATTACCGCTAGGCATTTCTTCTTCACTGTTGGCGGACGACAGCGCCATCTAGTGCTCGAACGCTGAGTATGACGCTCCAGTACATCTAGCGCCATCTAGCGACCCGCTGCCACGGCTCCACGTCGCCCTGAACAAAGTTGCTTTGCTTACACGGACGGCTCGGAGGATAATGACCACAACCGAATTAAAGTCATCTGTAATGAACTTTACCGTAACCAATGTCGGTTACCGGACGGCACCTCAGTTTATTTGGTTCAAATACTTGTTGTTCCCCTCGCGTTATAACATAGTCAACAACACACCCATGCAGCGAAGACAACAGGGATCTGTGCTGATTCCAGGCGGCTGTTCAATCACTTATTGACCCAGAGTTCAACCAATACCTCCTCGTCAACATCATCAGTCGCTATCATATATGAAACACACGCAGGGCACGGACAGAATCTTTTTTTATTCCAAGACACAGAGGTATCACGGCGAATGATTGGGCTCACCAACTATCCAAGGAATCTTTGACAACCCCTCACGACATAGAGATCCCCGTCGATCATGTATCTACGAAATCACACACTGACACACACTGACACACTGATTCACTGATTGACACACTGATTCACACACTGACGGAACATTTTTGTGTACGACAATGGACCGATGCAACCAGAACATCAAACAATCAGTTCAAACTAGTCCATCGGCCCAGCCGCTGTTTGTGCTTTCGCATTTTCCTTTCTAAGTCGCAATGAAATAACGACAGCATAGTGGCATTTGTAGCAAGAAGTAATGGCAGTTAGCGATGGCGGTTGTAGCAACCATAGCACTGCACAGCGCTCCGTCATCCCGTCTAGTGCATGACTGTAAGACGCTTCTCCAGCATCCGCTTCTTCGGCTTATGCACTCGCTCGAATCGAAACACGGTGCGTAATCAACTGCGCTCTGTATCATTCAACGTTGCAGGCAAAAAACCCAGATAGAGAAGTTGATGAACTCCACCAATACGTCGGCTGTAACTGCTGGAAACCTTCTCGGATCCGGGCGGTGGGAACTTCCGATCCAGTACCAGGCGGCTGTTGAGGCAGCCCGCATGTACGACGTCATGGTAAGCCCACGCGGTCGGCACGCGCTGCATCACGGTGGTCGAGCTTGCTCGGCTCAGCAGACCGCGTTTTCGTAGGACTCAGCGCCACTGTCACACTTGCTAAGATCGGTGTGAAATGTGACGACTGTCGGGACATCAGGGTGTGGAAATGTGGTTCCGCCAGCCAGGTGATAGGAAGGGTTCCACCAATCGTGCTTTTTAAACCCAATGACGCATAGCGGTCTCCGTGTCGGGGTGCGTAAGGCAGGGGATTGGTCGTGCCTCTTAACTATTCCAGTTGATAATTCATGCCGTCGTGAATTATCACCAGTACCCAATGCTTTCCATCGAGGTGAGCAGGTGTTGTGAGTGCACACGAGAGTCAAGATTTAAGTCGCAATGCCCGTGTGTGTCTTAATTACGGCGCGTCAACCATCACATCAGTCTGAGGTTGAGGTTGGCGGCAATTTGCAGACTGCACCGATGCGAATGAAAAGTGTGTATAAAAGATGGATGACGAACAAATCAGTGAAACGACACGCGATGGTTCCTAAAAACAGAAACACCTTCCGTTTTAGGAACGGACGCGTGTTCCTTTGATCCATAAATAACAGATCATGCTGGTAACAGAATTGCATTGACAATATGCGTTATGCATGTTTTTTTGCCGTCCATACGAAATGAGCAGTCTACGTCAAGTGAAGCCTATGGTATGTGTAATGACAGCTACGCCAGCTGCCATGAGAACGAATGTCACTGATCACACGTTAAAAAATGTAAGTGTTGATGGCATGGTGCACCTGCGGTTAGCCATTTGGACCTGAGTTCTTCGTACGCAAAAGTTTGTGCGCAAAACTGCACGTAAGTACATCGCCAAAAAAATCACCCCATTCACCAGCCCCACAGGGTCGTTACAGGGAGCGAGAACCACATGAGTACGATGAGGTGGTAGGAGAGCCCTCGCACGTCTGGGTTGTATGGCTGAGGAACAGTTGAAGACGAGATCGACGGAAAATCAACAGCGGAGAATGCGGAAGATATAAAAATATGAACACTTTTAAGTCCTACGTCAGATGTTTCATGGGAAGAATTGCAAACAACAAAAAAAAACTGGCGCGCAAAAACGATGCCACGAAACGATCCCATAGAAAGAAATATGACGCACATGAACCTAAAGAGAAAAGTCTGGATCCGGAAAAAGGAACGGAATCCGAAGAAAGCGGTGCACAAAGCAATGCGTGTGCTAGGACGTACAGCGCGAATAAATGCTATTTTGAGAAATGCGTATGCGGCAAAATGTGATACGAGGAATCACGTCTACGAGAGGGCAGGGGAAGCTTTGCGTATACGACTGGTGTACAAATACATGCATACCATAATTTGCGAAGCGAAAATTTGCGTGCAAACGTTAGTATTCAAAGGCTTGCGATTCGAAGTTATCGGATTTTACATAAAAACGAAGTGTTATTATTTTCATACCTACGTCATAGTAATAATGTTTTGTTACAGGGACTGGCAGTTAGCGATTTCCGGCGTGGTGCCCGGTTCCTCCGGGACTACCTGTCAGCGATCAACACGACCGCCCACACCGTGAGTGAGCATACTTTGCTTGCCGAGACATCTGCCTGCAATAGTGCACACCTCACTGAAAGAAGACTTCATCAGTTGATCTTCTAGCTTGTTTTGTTCTCCATCAGATATCAGAGGCGTTATGCTGAGCGTATTGAAGAATGAGCGCGTGATATGTTGTATGCACTACGGTATATCTACGAATTTGAAGTTTTAACGTGACAAGAACTCGCGCTCTTTCTATCAGAATTTCTGGAATAACAAGATCGCATCTCATCCAGTCCGTTAGCCCCAGATTTTGTCAGGTCACCAGTCCTTCTTACCTGGATCCAAAGTCGGGTTCGGCTCATTTCTGAAAATCGAAAGGCAAGTTTGCGCTAACCCGTGTCGAGCCATTTTATTTCAGCCAGGTCTACCGAAAATTGTGACAAGTGTGTGGCGTACATGCGTTGCGTGCGTGCGTCTTATTGAGTTATCACGCCGCATGCAGCTACTAAAGCTATATGGTTCGCTTTCCTCCCATTCTAGCAGGAAGTTGCAGATACCACGTGAATCGTAATTGAATACCATTCCTCCCCACACGAGCAGCTAAACCATCACACTACCGGCACACCTAAAACGCTAGCTATACGATGCTTTCATTCCATGCGAAGCTTTGTACTCCCCATGAGGGATGTATAGGGCCAGCAGATTCCGCCATGGTATCTGAATGGGGGACTTGTGAGTATAGGGGTATCATTAAGGCCGTGGGAAAAACGACAGTTTCGTGTATTGAGCAAATAACACGTAACGTTGGAAAGGTAATGCGAATATGGTGCATTGTTGAGAACAGCAATACGAAGAAAAAGCGTGCGTGGCATATGCCTTGCACGACTAGGCGCGTCAAATGCTCGCAGGGATTTTAGAGATTTCAGAGCATAAGAAATAAACGTCACATATACTGGATATAATTTTCGTGGAAGGCGAGGCTCCCCGTCCGATGCGTTGTCTGCAAATCCGATGCAGCTACCTGTTCCAAGTCTGATGAAGAGACATGCAGCTTATTCCGATTCTAGATTCGCTAGATTACTACAGCTAGACTCACGCCTCCTCTGGAGAAACCAAAAGACAATTGTGAGAGACGGGCTCCTAGCGCCGCAAAACATCGGTGCAGGCTGTACCCAGGGAATCGCTGCTGACTTCGCTGCTGGGGTGAATGCATTTACCCAGCCTTGAGGTGGTTACTACCAGTCCGCGCTGACGTTTACCGCCAGTCCGCACTGATGTTTACCGCCAGTCCGCGCTGATGCTTACCGCCAGTCTGCGCTGATGTTTACCGCCAGTCCACGCTGATGTTTACCGCCAGTCCGCGTTGATGCTTACCGCCAGTCCGCGCTTATGTTTACCGCCAGTCCGCGCTGATGTTTACCGCAGTCCGCACTTATGTTTACAGCCAGTCCACGCTGATGTTTACCGCCAGTCCGCGTTGATGCTTACCGCCAGTTCGCGCTGATGCTTACCGCCAGTCCGCGCTGATGTTTACAGCCAGTCCGCGCTGATGCTTACCGCCAGTCCGCGCTGATGTTTGCCGACGACTCTGCTCTGGGCCCCCCACACAGCTAAAACTTACGAGATGACACACCTTAGCAGGATGTGGGGTGTCACCCTAAATGCCGTAAAAACCGTACAGCAGTTCTCAACAGGGCAAAAAGCTGGCCACTTCAGCTAACGCATAATGACCCGCCATTAGCTGTCACGAAAAACCATGCACACTTAGGTGTAACCGTCACCTCGGGCTTGCGTTCACATGACCAAATTAAGAAATCGTTAGCAAAATCAGCCAGCGGCGAGGCATCTGACACGCAGTACTTTGAATCTAGCTTACCAGATATTCCTCCGGCCCATTTGACATTGGTTGTACACTGCCGCGATGTTGGCTACGATTCGCGGATCACGACAGCTGATGTCAGGTGCGCAGATTCCTATTTTTTTGGGGGGGGAAGCCTTCCAACATGGAATCCACTCTTTTTTTTTCTCCCAGCTCTGGGGGAAAGTGGGGTAAATCCGGGCAAACCCGTTTGTTGGCTATTTTGGGGGTATATTTCGCGATTTTTTAGACCTTCCCGCACCACTTATCTTACGAAAATGTGCCCCTGGTTGACGCCATAACACTAGAGAGCACCAGCTCAAAACAGGTCATCTGATAACAATGACATGCGTACCGATCTTCTCTATGGTGGCTTGGAACGACTCCGAATCTTCCAACGCACCATTCACAGACAGAGAACACTGCAAAATTAGCGAGTATTACGTCCCGATACCCACATACCTCAGTCCCATCACTCTCTTCAGGCGGACACATAAAAATTAACGAGTATTACGTCCCGATACCCACATATCCCAGTCCCATCACTCCCTTCAGGCGGACACATAAAAATTAACGAGTATTACGTCCCGATACCCACATACCTCAGTCCCATCACTCTCTTCAGGCGGACACATAAAAACACTACGGATTCCGTGAGACACCAACAGCGTCACGGATAACGCAGTTGGCTGACGTCATATCGCTGCTCTTTTGCCCTGACACGGTTGCCAAATGGAATAGACTTAACGCTGACAAACATACAAGACCAACCCAGCATTGAAGTGTTTCGTGAAGCAGTCGCAAAACACTAGGACAAAACGATGACCCACTGTACTTTGTCGGCTGAAAATTAGGCAAAGATTTTCACGAGGCTAGGATTAAAAATGTGGAAACACAAAGCCCACATTTTCCAAATGTGAACAAATTGGTCTCCTCAGTACAGCTTGATGATGATGATGATGGCCATGATGACGATGGTGATGACTAGGATGCTGATGACTATGAGGGCAATGATTGGGATGGTCATTACTATTATGAAAGTGTTGTGATGGTGGTGGTGGTGGTGGCAATGATGCTGATTATGACGATATGATCATGGTGCTTAAGATGATGGAGAAGGTGATGGTCATGATGATGGCAACGCTAATAACGGTGCCGATTATGACGATGACGATGATGATGATGAAGCGGAAGGCCTAGTTTCCTCATTACAGGTAAATGTCGTCGCCTGCAACGTAGAATCTACGACTCTGGGTAACCTGGTGCAACCCTCAGCTTTCTCCAATGACACAGCATTTGTCGGCTTTGTTGATTACGACACAGACGAGGTGAGATCACTATCCCGTAGCGCGTGGCTGTGTGGTTGCTACATGCGTCATGGTTGCGTTGCAGGGAGGCTGTTATGAAGTTATCGTTAGTCGTTGATGCTTTCCAGCTTGAATAAAACACTTGATCGGTATGAATGAACTCCCTAAATAGTCAAAATGACAACTGAAATTTGAAACGCACTCGCTCTTGCATTGGCTGCATTCAACTTGTTGACGTAAGCCGTCTTCACAAAGGATTGCGGAGACCAAACGCACCGCTCTGTACCGGCTGCGTCCGATGAACCCGATGAAACTAACACCGGTGTAAACCCGATGAAACTGACACCGGTGTAAACCCGATGAAACTGACACCGATGTAAACGATCGCGGCCCGGTTGACCATCCAGCGCCCTCAGCCGATCCACGCCGGTGCCGGACCTCGCGTTATCCTCGAATTTAGTCGAGCTAGGGGCATGGGCATTTCACACAAATGTTAAAAAGAGGCCCGTTTCGTGCTGTAGACTTATTCTAAGTTCCATTAACGTGTTTTAGCTATAGAATGTTCAGGGCAACAATCTGTGGCGCTAACCCCTAAGATTTTTCGTCACCGGCACTGATGATGCATTGCTGCTTTCTATACTGGTGCACGTCCGTCAATCCCTTGCCCAATAGTTGAGTAGAACAGCCGAAGCATCATTCTTTTTTTCTTCCGGCGTTGAGCTCGGGGATCGCTAAGACAGCGGGCACGTGACTCCAAGATTGTTTGCGCACAGTGATCAGTCAATGTTTACGTATTTGTGCTCCGTTGTCAATGTCTTTGAGACTGTTTCCCAACACGATGCTGCCATTTGCTTTTCTTCTTTCCCCAGGAAACTATGTTTTTGGATCCGGAAATTCAGCTGAATAATCTGAGCTGCGTCCAGAGTGAGGTTTTGAAGTTGAAGAGCTTAAACGAAGACAGGCCGGTGGTAATCGTGGGTGAGAATCGTCTTTGTATCTCACACTTGTTTTCGTTGATTCTGTCTCACCCTTGCACCAATTTCGTGTTACCCATCCCATCACCGTTTCTTGCTGTCTCTCAGACTACATATCTTTCCACTATACATCTACGAACCCACACTTTCTTAAGAAAAGGGAGCGCGATGCACGTCGCCATGTACCTCTTTATGGAGGGCCAGCGACTGGACAAGTGTCATATTAGTGCTCAGGGGCCATGGCCCAGCGGGGATTGAAGGCTGGGTCCCCACGTGGAAGCCAACGTTGCTGAACAATCGACCACATCCCTCCCTCTCCCCTCCACCATCTCATCCATCCCATCCCATGCCACCATCCACGGCCTGTCCGCATTAGCTTTCTTTATTTCCCCGCTTATTTTTCCCTTTTTGTACTCTTTGCACTCGCCGCCACTAAAGCGCAACTCACACCGTATATCTTTCCTGCAGGATGCACATCTTCTGTTGCTAGACTGAACAACCTCACTGGCGGAATACTTAACAACACCAACGTCACCGCAGCTGTACTGTCTTGTGAGTGACATCTAGTGGTGGTATTCGTAATGGTACCCTGACCCTTCTGCGAGTGGCATCTAGCGGTTGTGAGTGCCTTTTGAGTTGACAAGGTCGTGCAGTAGAGGGCGTGCGATGCGGTGTACGCCTTGATACTATGCTACACTTTGATACGCTAGCGCTAGCTTAACGTTACGTTACGCTAGCTTTGACAAGCATAAAGGGCAATCGCCCAACAAATATGTAACTGAGGGAAAGCAAAAACTTAGGAGCTTAGAGGCCCAGAAGGAATTGGTTTCATGTCGTTGTGCCTCACAGCGAAAGCACTCGAACCTACCCCCACTGCGTGGCGGTCCAAACAGTCAGGGTGCCAGCAGCAGGCTTTCAACTGGGCTTCTGAGCAGCCGGACACGCGGGGCTCGATTCCCCACGGTGCCCGTCCTTCCCGCCAGGGTGAAAGGCGGGCGACGCACGAGCTCCAGCAGCTGAGTGCGTCGTGAAGCCCCACTGACGCCATCAACAACTCGGTCGGATTAGTCGGGGATCACGCTTATTCGGGGGCGCGGAGCCCGCGTTAGAGCAGACGCGGTGGTCGCTAGTGTTCGCCTGCAGCTCCTGCGTCTAGAAGGATTTCTGACCTCCTCCTCGCACCCGGGTTTTGGTGCTCGGCTGCTGAATCTAGTGTTCCATTATCCGGGCCCTTTAGTTTTTTCTTGCTCGCCATGAGATTCAGCGCCGTCACACCCTTTTTGTGAAGCGCCAGCGCCAGTATCGGCCGTATTAGCGTTCAGGGGCCCAGGGAGCAGCCGGGATTCGAACACGGCTCCCCATGTGACAGCGCAGGGAGCTAACCCCTCGACCATTAAGCCCCCATCTTCCTTAAGTTACGCCTCCTTCCTCACCGCGAGCGGGAAGCGTAACACGAAGTGAGAAGGATTTGTTCAGTGCTGACAAGCTCGGCGTGGCCCTGCATCATGGTGCGGCCCTCGAACTCAAATGATCACGCGGCTGATGATCTTCGCGTGCGTGGTTGTGCTTCTGCCACCGCTGACCGCTGCACCCGTCGACCCCGCTCACTCTCACTCGTGTCGACGCTGCTCACTCTCACTCGTCTTCGGCAAACACTCTTGTATCTTGTATCTCGTATCTTGTATCTTTTATCTGGATGTACCTATCCACAGCTCACAATCGCCCGCGGCGTCGGATTGCGCCTTCGGTGCGAGTTTGGCACTATCCGCTGGGAAGTTTGGCACTATCCACTGGGAAGTTCCGCTCTTTTTCGTAGTGCCTCACCCAGGCAGAGTTGTGCGCTGAATCTGGATCCACGGAGCTCCTGGGTGGTGGCACAATCAATGAATAAAGACTTTTCGTCTCGCGGAGAGTCTGGTTTGTCTGGCCCTGAGCGCGCAAGTCATGTCCGTCGTCTCACGACATTCGCATTTTTCACTTTTTTGCAATTTCACATTTTTGCATTTTCGGTTCAGGTTTTTTCACGCAAAGTTTGGTTTCTTTTTCGTGACGTTCGAAGTCGCCGTGATGACAAGCGCGTGTTTAGCAAAACCTCAACCACCTGATTGCTAAAAACTCGCGTTTTCCTTTTCTGGACAGCAATGGCTGCCAAGGCCGACCACTACAACGGCTGTGTAGCGCGACGTACATTGCTCACGCAAAAGTCGCTTACGTAATGGCAATCTCTGGCACACTAGAAATGTATTCTGGTCTCCTTGCATACTCCAAATCTGATCAATCTTTCTTTCATCATTCTCCGTCTACCGGTATGCCAGAGGCCGTGCGGGTACCCTTAAATAATATATCGTCTGCCGTAAATATATTTTTCCTACGTATGTACCTACCACATTTATTTGTGGCAATCCTCTGCAAGGTGA